TATATGTGTAGTGGTATCTTGTTGTGGTTTTAATTTTCACTTACTAATGATTTTGAGCATCTTTTTATGTGCCTATTTGCAATCCATGTATCTTCTTTAGTGGAGTGTATGCTCAGATCATTTGCCCATTTTTTTATCAGGGTATCTTCTTTCTATTGAATTTGGGAGATTTTTATATATTTTAGATGAAAGTCCTTAAATAGATAAATGATTTATAAATATTTTCTCTCAGTCTTTGACATCTCTTTTCATTTTTTAAAATAGTATCTCCGAAGAGTTTTTAATTTGATTTAGTCCAATTTATCACTTACTTTGTTTTATGGATTGTGCTTTGAGTATCGTATCTAAGAAGTCTTTGTCTAAACCAAGCTCACAAATTTTCCCCTATATTTTATTCTAGAAGTTTTACAGGTTTATGCTTTCCATTTAGATCCATTTTGAGTTAAAAAAAAAAAAAATTATATGGATCAGAGTTCATTTTTCTCATGGATCCAGTTGTCCGACAACATTTGTTGAAAAGACTATCCTTTGAATTACCTTTATATCTTTGTTGAAAACTAGTCTAAAAGAGTCTAATTTGAATTCCTGGACACCATTCTCTTCCATTGAATTATTTGCCCATCTTGATACCAATACTACAGTGTCCTGATAGTCATAGTTTTATGATAAATCTTATAATATGCTACTGTTAGTCCTACAAAACTCTATTTGGCTACTCTAGGTCTTTTGTATTTCCATAAGCATTTCTGTCACTTCTTTAAAAAAAATAGCCTTCTGTATCATTCATTGGGATTGTGTTGAATCTGTAGATCCTTTTGGGAAGATTCCCTAACAATATTGAATCTTCTAGCCCATGAAGACTGTAGATCTTTCCATTTATTTAGGTTACCTGTAATTTCTCACCAATGCTTGAAATAGTTGTTGAAATCTTCAGCTATAATTATGCATATGTCTGTTTTTCATTGACGTTTTATCAGTATTTGCTCTACGTACTTTGAGGCTCTGTTAGTTGCATAAACATTTAAGCTTTTTGTGTCCTCTTGATGAGTTATCCGTTTATCGTGAAGTGGCTCTTTCCTTAGTAGTATTCTTTGCTCTGAAATCTTTGTCAGTTATTAATATAGCCACTCAGTCTTTTTTGATTTGTGTTAGCATGACATATTTTTTTCTTTTCCTTTGCTTTTAATTTATTTTATGCTATTTGACCCCTCTATTCTTTAATTCCCTTCTTTTTCTGCTTCAATATCTCCTACAAAGTTGCAGTCAAAGTGCTGCTAGAACCACAGTCCCATCTGAAGGTTTGACTGGGAAAGGGCCTGCTTCCAAGCTCAGTCATATGATTGTTTGTAAGATTCAATTCCTCTCTTTGACTGAGTGTCTCAGTTCTTCACTGGCAACTGATTGGAAAGTGTCCTCAATTCCTTGCTATGTGGAACCTTTCTGCTTACTTCATGAGAGCAAGCATATAAGGAGTGAGTACTAGAAGATGTAAATTGTAAGCTAATCAGAAACCATCACTTTTTCTATGTTATACATGTTAGATATAAGTACCTAGTCTGTAATAAAAGGGAGGGGATTATACAATACAAAGAAGTGAGGATCAGTGGAAAACATCAGAAGCTCTGTACCACAAATATTTTTTATGATTCCATTTTTTTTTTTTTTCATTTTAGTGCTTCTTTTAGGTTTTAATAGTATACATATTCAGCTTACCATAGTTCACTTTCATGTGATATTGCACCACTTCCCATATAGCATAAAGAACAAAACCCACTGACACTGAGTCCATTAGTACTCATAGCAACCCTACAGGACAAAGTAAAACTGCTCCATTGGACTTCCAAGGCTACTAGTAGTATTTAATCTTTATGGAAGCACTGCCATATATTCTCATGGGTCAGCTGGTGGGTTCCAACCACTGAACCTTTTGGTTAGCAGCTGAGTATTTTAACCACTGTGCCACCAGAGCTCCTATATTTAGCATAAGAACTTCATAATAATGTAATTTCATTTCTCTCCTCCTGGCTATTATGCTACTCTTGACATATATTTCACTTCTACATGTTATAAACTCTACAATTGATTGATTTGATACTGCTGTATTTAAACAGTCAGTTCCCTTTAAAAGAGATTTAAATACTAAGAAAAAATTCTTTCATATTAACCCCTGTAGTTATGATTTCTGGTCCTCTTCATTCCTTTGTATAGATCTATATTTCCATCTGGGGTCATTTTTTATTTTCCTGTCTTGAGGACCTAACTTAACATTTCTTGTATTGTGGGTTAGATGAGGAGGAATTCTTTTCTCACTTTTATGTTGAAACATCTTCATTTTCAAAAGATACATTTAGTTGGTTTAGAAATCTAGGGTCATGATTTTTTTGTGTGTGTTTTCTGGCACCACTGCCCCACCCCCGGCAACCTAGTACTTTGAAGATGTTGCTCCTCTGTCTTCTTGCGTGCATTATTTCCAGTGAGGAATATACTGTCATCTTAATGTTTTGTATGCAACATCTATCTTTTTTCTCTGGCTGCTTTTAAGATTTCCTCTTCACCACTGGATTTGAGAAATACTACAATGTGCTTTAGTGTGGTTTACTTACATTTATTTTTCTTGGTGTTTATTGAACTTGGATGTATGTGTTTCATCAGCAAATGTGGACAATTTTCAGCCTTTTTTTTAAAATATGTTTTCTTTTCCTTATTTGTTCAGCTCTTCATCAGAGACTTCAGCTATACACATACTAGACCACTTGGCAGTTAAGCTTACGGTTCACATAGGCACTGTTCTTCCCCCTCTCTGCCCCCCATAAGCCTTTCCTTTCTGTCTTCCATTTTTGGTTATATTATTGTTGTGTCTTCAAGTTCACTGACATTTTTATTTTGCAGTATTTAATCTGCCACTAGAGCCCTGGTGGCACAGTGGTTAAGTGCTAAGCCAAAGGTTGGCAGTTTGAACCCACCAGCCTCTCCATGGGAGAAAGATGTAGCATCAGCTTCCATAAAGATTTACAGCCTTGAAAACCATATGGGGCAGTTCTACTCTGTCCTGTAGGGTCACTATGAGTTGGAATTGACCGAAGGGCAACAGGTTTTGTTTTTTTTTTTCTAATTTGCTCCCAATCTGTGGGTGTTTGTTTCTTTTAAATATCAAACATTGTAGTTTTCATCTCTAAAAGTTTGGTTTAGATCCTTTTTATATCTTCCATGCCTCAACTTTTTGAACAAGTGGATCGCCATTATAACCATTTTAATGTCCTTATCTCCCAACTCTTAACATTTATATCAGTTCTAGATTTTTATTTATTTATTTTTTTCCTTATTATGGGTTGAATTTTTCTGCTTCTTTACTTGCCAGTTATCATAGGCAGAATTCTAAGATTGACCCCTGGAGGCCCTCATTCTTTATAATTCCTTCCCCTGTAAATTTGATGGGTCATCACTCCTGTGATTATGTTACTTGACAAGAGGGATTTTGTAGATATAATTACTACTCAGTTAACTTTGACTTCATCAAAAGGACATTTATCTAGGTGGGCCAAATCTAATCACACAAGCTCTTTAAAAGCAGAGAGCTTTCTCTGGCTGGTGGCAGAAGGCAAAGTCAAAAAATTTGAACTACCATTGCTAGCTGGACAGTGGCAAGGGGCACAGGATAAAGAATTCAGGTGTTCTCTTGAAACTCACAACAGCTCGTGGGTGTCAGCCAGTAAGGAAATGGGGATTTCCCCTCCCTGCATTGTATCCAGGAAACTCAAGACAGTAATCTAGGACAGTTTTAGGGCTCATCCCATCTCTCACGTTTCACTGTTTGGTATCACTTGATGTCCAATATTTTTAAAACTGATTTTTTTAATATTTTGTCTAATTTTTTAGTTGTTTCAGTAGGGAAGGTACATCTAGTCATTTTTACTGATTCTTGGTTAGAAACTGAAGTCCTTCAGTTATTTTTAAATAATTTAAAATTTTAAATAAAATTACATTTTAATAATTTAATAGAACAGACCTTATCAGAAAATGTTCTTCCTAAAGTATTATGCTTTTGCACTATCTTTATTTTAAATATGGAAACACCATTTGTTATTTGTAGTACACCAAATCTAGCCCAAATTATGACAAAGCCATATCCCCAGCTAGGCTAACTCAGTTTCTTATTTTCATATGAACACCTTTAGAGCTTATATGTCTAAGGAAATTGTCGTTATTTTGTCCTTACATAACTATTACCTAAGACACTTGCCTGCTAACCAGACGGCTGGCGGTTCAAACCCACCAGCCACTCCTCGAAAGGAAGGTTGGGCAATCCCACTTCCGTAGTGATACTGCCTCGGAAACCCAAGGAGGGGTCGCTATGAGTTGGGTTTGACTCAACGGCACATAACAACAACAACAACACAACAACATAATTTATTTGATTAAATGAACTATTAGAATGAAAAGATGTCATTTTACATGTCAAATAGAAAAGAACTCAAATTTATTTATACAAAGAAGAACCCTATAAGGTCCTTTTCTTTGTAAACTATGTAAGTAGTAAGAGAACTGTTATTCACATAGTCGTTTTTCCTTGTTTCTAATTTCTTTATGTTTATTGCAACATATTATTTCACTTTAATTTTCCCCCATCACAGGCTCTAGCCATATGATTCTGTAATTCTTCCATGTAATTAATAGAAACAAGTATTCATGTCACAAGAAGTTTATATAATTTGTTGTGTTTTGTGCACTAGAGACAGTTCTTTAAGAAGTACTATTCATTTCCATAATGTTTTTTATAATTGCCTTAATTATGAGTTTTCAGTGGGTTTCTCTAGTTATAACAAAAGAAGTGATGGTTGCCTCACAATTCCTCTGGGAGAATAGTTTTTATTTTTGTTGTTGTTATGTGCCTTTAGGAGGTGTTTTTTTTGTTGTTGTTGTTTTAAATGATAGGTTAGCAGACACATAATTCTATATATTAAGAATTGATGTTCTTACTTGATATTTGTTTATGCTAACAGGTACTCTGGAAGTTCGTCTTATGGGCTGCCAAGATATCCTAGAGAATGTCCCTGGACGATCAAAAGCGACATCAGTTGCACTACCTGGCTGGAGTCCAAGTGAAACCAGATCATCGTTCATGAGCAGAACAAGTAAAAGTAAAAGTGGAAGTAGTCGAAATCTCCTAAAAACAGATGACTTGTCCAGTTCAGTAACCAAATTTTTTAAATTATATAACAAATTTGAGGGCCTATATAAGAGACTTAGCATTGGGAACAGAGAAAAATGGGAAGAGTCGAAGTTAGACAAAAAATTTTAAAATTATGATTCCCACAGTTTTAACTTTAAAATTTAAAAGTTATAATGACAGGAAAACAAAAAAGCAATAAAATTTATTTTACTGAAAATATATTGGAAAACTAAATGACATCAAGCATTAATTCTTATAAAAGAATGAAATATTCAGCATCAATCTTTGTGACAGATGAAAGGTGGTATACACAGAGGCTATGAGATGTGTACTTCTTGTAGAAACACTTCTTGATTCTTTGAATGGTTTTGAAATACTTCCTAGCTAACATTAAAATTTTGATAATACCAGTACTAACCAGTAGACCAATCATGTTTACTGGGATAGCAGCCTAATATCCCAGTAATACCTTAAAGGAACCCAAGGTGACGGGATATGTGAAGTTTACAGTAAAATACAAGAGGGTCACAAAGCCTGGGGTCTTAAAAGCTTTCGAGTGGCCATCTAAGATGCAGCTAATGGTCTCCTTTCATCTGAAGTGAAAAAGAGTGAAGAAAACCAAGGGCATTTGGAAATAATCAGCCCTAGGATATGATGGATTTCAAGACTGGAAGAACTAGATGGTGCCCAGTTACCAATACCAACCACTCAGGAAGGGATCAAAACTGGAGGTCTATGGAGTGGGAGGAAAAATGTGGAACAAAATTCAAAAACACAATAACGACCAGAATTACTGGTCAGATGGAGTCTGGTGGGACCCCCAAAACTATAGCCCTGGGATACACTTTGGGCCTGGGATAAGACTCACTCCCAAGGGCTGGCTCTTAGCCCAACAGTGGTAAGACTTAAAACACCCAACCCAGGGCAATGTACCCACCTGCTCTACAGAAATACACCCTTTGGAGCAATCGCCATGGGGCATCAGAGGGGCAGAATTCACATTGAGGGAAAGCTGGACAGGCAGGAGTGCGTAACTAAGGGCACAGGCATGGAGAGGTCACAAGGAAAGGAGAGAAGGAGAGTAGGTTAAAATTGGGGATGGCAATTGAGAAGTAAAACCAAATGTATATGACCTTTTGAATGTAAATAGTGCTCTGTAAATTTGCACGCAAAACACACACAAAAAAAAAAATACCCAAAAAAAGAGCAACAAAGAACTTTGAGGGCCCACTAAAATATAATTACAGATTATGATATAAATGTGTAACTTGGGATAGAGGCATATGACAATTCAACCTAGTACAGAATACATGAATATGTCTATGCTTTCTTTTGTGTAGAGAGAGGCTTTTGGAAAAAAAATGTGAACATAAAGAATTAAGGCAACCTCCAGAGATAGCAACTGTAGAGGGAAAAAAAAAAAAAAAAACAGTATACTTAATATTGATACACACATACACAGTATTGCAAACTACTGCTGTCAGCTACTGTCTTTTCAGTCATACTCTAATACAAACAGAATAGATAGCAGTTAAGGAGCTGTAGTAGCTTCACTGGTTAAACATTCAACTCTTAACCAAAAATCAGTGCTTTAAACCCACTTGCTGTTCCATGGAAGGAAGATGAGGCAGTCTGATTCCATAAAGATTTACAGCCTTGGAAGCCCCATGGGGCAGTTCTACTCTGTCTTATAGGGTCATTATGAGTCAGAATCAACTCAATGGCAGTGGATTTTAGATAGCAGTTAGTACATATTTGTGTTTTTATGAAACACAAGGAACAATTCAGGAGGGTCTAGTGGGAGTATATGTGTTCATAAACCTAGCCATTTAAGATTCAAAAGTTCAGTATTGATTCTGAAAAACCTTACTTTCAGTGGTTCATAAGTCTTTTATTGCTGTTCAACAGTTGTACTTTTATTTGAAACATTTTAAAGTTTTGAAGCAAGCTTATAAATTTTAATTACAGATGATGTCTGTGCTGTTTTGAAGCTAGATAATACTGTGGTTGGTCAAACTAGCTGGAAACCTATTTCTAATCAGTCATGGGATCAGAAGTTTACACTGGAACTAGACAGGGTAAGATGAGAAACTTCTTGTTTGAATTTTCTTATATTTATAATTCATTTCCAATACATTTTCTTTTTTAGAAACTTTCTTAGAAAGTTTTACTCTTAACAGAATAAAAGAATAATTTAGGTATCTTTGACATTTCTTATCTGGTAATTTATGCATATATCTACCTTAATACAAGTGAATATCAGTTTGCAACAGTAGCTTTTACTTCTACAATGTTTTAAAGTCATGCAATTTATATTATATTAACCTGAATGGTTAGCCACCAAATGAAATCTTTTTTTTTTTTTTTTTCCTATTTGGGGGTTAGTGGTAGTGGTGGGGGGAGGGGAGTAGTGGGGTTGGTGGCAGGTGAACTCTATTAAATAAAATATAATTATTTATTTTAGTAATGCACCATTAACCACTAAGATGATTTTTGTCACTCATGATTTGTAAGTTATATTCCCAAAGCTGAATTTGAAATGAGCTATTATACTTAGTCAACTGTCCTTCTGTGTGTTCCAGTGGTTTTCATCAAATATAACTGGCCAGAGTGTAGTCTGTGGTGTTAGAACCTAGCAGAAGTTAACTTGGTCCACAGGAGTTTTAAATGCATGATCATAACCTTTATTTTAAACTCTAGTCAGTCCATTTATGTGTGTGAAAACATTAAAACTTAATCATATAATATTTTAAGCTCTTTCGTCATTTAGTATACAGATTGATAGTATATATACTATTTTTTAAATTATATATTTTAGTCAAAGCACATTTACAATGCTTAAGATGATGTGCTTTGTGAAAGTCTTTTGGCAATGATAACTTTTAAAATGTTTTTCCTGTTTATCTCTTTCTGTCTTCACAGCCAGCACTCTAGTTCAACCCCTCATCATTATTTTCCTTGGTTCAAATACTGGCTCTTGGGGTTATATTTCAGGGGAAAAACATTTGACTGCAAATACTGGCCCTTCCATTTATATGTTGTATGTACTTGAGAAAAATGATTAACCTTTTCTCTGTACCAGTGTTCTTATATTTAACACTGTCTCCCTTACTGAGATGTGTGAGGACTAAATCCATGTAAAAATCTTTGAAGAGTGAGAAGAATTCAATTAGTGTTGACTGTTTTCACTCCAAAGGAGCTTTGGTGGTATCGTGGTTAAGGCATCTGACTGCTAACCAAAAGGTCAGTGGTTTGAATCTGCCACATGCTCTGTGGAAGAAAGATGAGGTGGTCTGCTTCTGTAGAGATTTACAGCCTTAGAAACCCAATGGGGGTTCACTCTGAGTCAGAATTGACTCAGTGGCTGAGTTTGGTTTTTGGTTTGGGTTTTACTAAAGTAATCTACTGATCTTCATAGAGTACTCTTTTCATCCTGTCCTTCATTCTCTGGTTAAAGATCATTCATTTGTTCATTAAATCATTTATTCATTTAATTAACAGATATTTGTTGATACCTACTGTGTACTAGGTCCTTCCAGATGGTAGATTAGTACTGAACATAAGCAAGGTCTGTCAGAGTTCTCTCAAGGAACTTATATTTCATTGGCTTTTTACTATACCTCTTATTAGTTGCAGACTCTTTGCCATTACATCTGAAACTATCCATAAGAGTATACCACTTCATTTTGGAAACAATAAAGTTCAGTGAGCAACTTGGAGGGTAAAGTTTAGTGCAATTCTCATATGAGAAAAAGGTTCTACTTCTAAGAATTTTTTTCAACTTTCTGGCTTTTTTTTCCTTCGTGGTAAGAGTAGAGCTAATATTTGTCATACGCTATACATGGTCTATTTAACTAAATAGGCTAGACCAATATAAATCTACTGGAGAGAGAAATACAGTTGAGGTTGTTAGAAAATATAGACAAAATCTACATGTCTTTTTATATTTGAGTCTTTCTAAGATGTGTGACTGCATATAAATATTCATGACCATTAAATGTTTCTTTCAGTCTCTACTCATTTTTAACAAATTTTATTGTGGTAAAATATACATATAAAAACATTAGCCATTTTAACCATTTTAAAATATACAATTCAGCAACATTAATCATGTAGCCATCTCCACTATCCATTCTCAAATATTTTTCATCATAAGGAGAAACTCAGTATCACTTAAGTAATAACTTTCATTTCTCCCTGACCTCCCAGATACTGGTTGAAACTAATAAACTTTTGTCTCTGTATCTTTGCCTGTTTCAGATATTTCATGTAAATGGGATTATATAGTGTCTGATTTACTTCACTCAGCTAGGATTTACAAGATTCGTGCATGTCAGAACTTCATTTCTCAATCTGGCTGAATAATATAAAATGCCATTTTATGGATATACCACGTTTTGTTTATCTATTCATTTACTGATGGACATTTGCGTTGTTTCAGATTTTTGGCTGTTGTAAATAATGCTGCAGTGAATATTGGTGTACAAGTATCTGAGTCTCTGTGTTCCATTCTTTTGGGTATATACCTAAGAGCAAAATTGCTGGGTCATACAGTAATTCTGTATTTATCTTTTTGAGGAATCACCAAACTTTTCCACAAAAGCTACATTATGTTACATTTCTACCAGCAATGGCTGAGGGTTCCAGTTTCTTCACATCCTCACCATTATGTTACTTTCTGTTTTTCTGATAACAACCATCTTAGTGTTTGTGAACTACCACCTCTTTGTGGCTTTGATTTGCATTTCCCTAGTGATTAATGGCTAATGTGTACCTGACCCAGCCCATGGTATTTTCAGTCACCTCATATGTATGTCAAAGCTGGATGAGTAAGGAAGATCAAAGAAGAATTGACGCCTTTTGAATTATGGTGTTGAAGAAGAATATTGAATATACCTTGGACTGCCAGAAGAATGCACAAATCTGTTTTAGAAAATGTACAGGCAGAATGCTCCTTAGATGGAGACACTTCATCTCACTCACTTTGGATGTTTTATCTGGTGGAACCAATGGTATTTCCAGTTACCTCATACACATGCAAAAGCAAGTCAGTGGCTAAGGAAGACTGAAGAATTGATACATTTGAAGTGCTGATGAAGGATATTGAATGGACTGCCAGAAGAAAAAATAAATCTTTCCTAGAATGTTCCTTAGAGTGGAGGATGGTGGACTTTGTTTCATGTACTTTGGTCATGTTATCAGGAGAGATCAGTCTCTGGAGAAGGATGTCATGCTTGGTAAAGTAGAGGGTCAGCAAAAAAAGGGAAAGACCCTTAATGGCATGGATTGACATAGTGGCTGCAGCAATGGTCTCAAACCTAACAATGATTCTGAGGATGGTGCAAGACTGGGCAGTGTTTTGTTCTTTTGTACATAGGATCACTATGAGTCCGAACCTAATATAAACTGTGATTAATGATCTTGAGCATCTCTTTGTGTGCTTGTTGGCCATTTGTATATCTTCTTTGGAGAAATGTCTGTACAAGCCCTTTGCCAATTTTTCACTTGGGTTGTCTGATATTAAACATTGTCAGACATATGGTATCTTTATTATGTAGTACTGCTATAACAGAAATACCACAAATGGTTGACTTTATCAAACACATTTATTTTCTTGCTGTTTACGAGGCTAGAAGTCCAAATTCAGGACACCAGTTCTAGAGGGAGGCTTTCTCTGTCAGTTCCGGGGGTATGTCCTTGTCTCTTCAGCATGTTCCCCCTGGTTCCTTGGAGATCCCCATGTGACTTGGCATCAAACATCTCCCATCTCTGTTTCCTTAATCTCCTTTTATGCTTTATAAGAGATTGTCCCAAGACACACCGTACACTAATCCTGTCCATTAATTTAACAGAAACAGCATATTCCCAAATGGGATTACAACTACAGCCACAGAGTTTAGGATTTATAACATGTATTTTTGGGTGGCATAATTCAATTCATAGCACATGGTTACCAAATATTTTCTCCTATTCTTTCGGTTGTCTCTTCACACTCTTGATCATGTGTCTGATACACAAAAGTTTTTACTTTTCATGAAGTCCAGTTTACCTATTTTGTCTTGTGCTTGAGCTCTTGGTGTCATGTCTGATAATCTATTGTCAGAGGCTAGATCTTGAAGTTTTATCTATCTCTTCTAGTAGGTTTTTGGTTTTAGTTTTCATACTTACATCATTACCTCATTTTGATTTAATTTTTATGTAAGGTATGGGTTCATCTTTATTCTTGGGAAATACAGTTGTCCCAAAGTGATTTATTTCTTCAATATCTCTTTGACTGTTCTAATTCCACTGAATAGAATTGGTACCCTTATCAATAATCAGTTGACCATAGATGTGTAAGTTTATTTCTGGACTTAGTTATGTTCTATTGTTCTATGTGTCTGTCTTTATACCAGTACCAAACTGTTGTGAAATTGGGAAATGTGAGAACTTCTGTTATTTCTTCTTTTACAAGTTTGCTTTCAATTCAGGGCCCTTTGCAATTTCATATAAATTTGAGATTGTGGAAATTTTGATATAACTTGTGTTGATTCTATAGATAACTTTGAGTAGTACTGAACTCTTAATAACATGAAGTCTTACGATCCATGGGCACAGAGATGCATTTAATTTCTTTTTGCAATATTTTATACGTTTCGTTGAATATGTATCTCGTCTTCCTGGTTAAATTTATTCCTGGTTACTTAATTCTTTTTGATGCTGTTATAAATGGAATTTCTTTTTAGATTGCTGGTATATTGAAGCACAACTGAATTTTCCAAGTTGCTTTTGTCTCCTGCAATTTTGCTGGATTTCTTCATTAGTAGTGGATTCTTTGGATTTTCTATATGTAGAATCATGTCATCTGTTAATATATAGTTTCACATCTTTCTTTCTGATTTGTATACTTTTTTTAATTAAAATCTAGCTGTTCTTTCTAGAACTTCTACTAAAATGTTGAATAATACTGATGAGAGCAGGCGTATTTGGCTTGTACCTGATTTTAAGGGAAAAATACTCAGTCTTTCACCATTGACTATATTGTTACTTGTGGGTATTTCACAAATTCCTTTATTATGTTGAGGAATTTCCCTTCTAC